AGCAATGGAGGGGAACAAATTCAAGGCAAAATTTCCAATAATTAGATTGTATACTGGGAAAATTATAACGTATAAATTCTTCATGTACAAAATCTAATTATTGGGGGGGGTCATCTTATATTCAGGATAGTTTTATATTCTAGTAAATATGGTAATTTGGTATAGCTTCTTGAACAATTAATTCAGTATCTGAGCTTGCATATATACATTCTATTTTCTGCTCAGAATGTGTGGCTACCAGAGGTGTTTCCAAAATCCTTAAAATATATTCTTTCAAGCTAGTGAGGCTAATGATTTCTGCATTGACATCAATAATACTCAACATGGAGTTCATTGCAATTTATGCTCCAGTGTGTGCCAGTGTGAGGGTGCAACTCGCATCTGAGTAATATTTTTCTTGGAAAGAGTTTTTAAGTCTGGAATCTGCCAATTCCTCTGGGGAGGAAAATGGATTTTTTTCATGGTCCATAAGGCATGCTCAGGCTGCATGTAGCAGTTAGTCTTCCGCTGTGCACAGGATTAGCTCAGTGCTTCAGGGTGTCTGAAAACCTGGATTCCATCATTTGCTGGTCACTGGTATGCTGCCGGGTGTTGGGCAAGCTAAGTAATTTTTCATCTATCTTTTTCTTATCTGTTAAATAGTGACACAGTGCTTTGTACAGCACTGGGATGTCTGGATGAAAAGCACTTTGAATGGCTCTCAGTATTTTATCTGAACTCCTTCCTCTCTCTCCAGTTTTGTCCATCTGAACAGTTGGGACTCAGTTTTAATAACTAGCTTTCTTATTTTTAACTTTCTAAAATGTATTTAATTAGTTTGGGTGAAATTATAATAGGTTTTGTTCAGTTGTGAAGAGTTTCGTAACGTTTTCAGATGTGTCCCCATTTATTTTGGAAAACTAGCTAGGAAGTTACATGTGCAAGTAGTATCTTATCATCCAAGACAAGTTGAAGCATTTAAAGCATGTTTGTCTAAATCAAGGATAAGCTGTACAATCTTAAATTACTGAATGATTTAATCATATATTTTGTACCAATATTATATATATAATTGCATATTTTGAAGTTTTTCTACTATATTTTAGCTTTCTTTTTCTCATGTTTCCTTCTGCTTTTTAAGAGTCCTAGAAGCCAGCATAGCAGAAAATAAAGCAAGTTTGAAGAGGACACATCCAGAAGTGTGGAGTGATTCTCCAAATCCATATGATCGAAAGCGGCTAGAAAACTGTCCGGTTGGGTTAAAGAATGTTGGCAACACATGCTGGTTTAGTGCAGTTATACAGGTAAGGGCTTCCGTAAAGATCTATGTTTCTGCATACTGTTCTTGTACAAAAGATATTTACTGTAATGGGTAGAATCTTGGCTTTTTTTTTCCTTTGAGCCCCTGAGGCCGAAGTATAAGGCTCTGAGTGCTCAGTAAAACCAATACTATGTTTACAGAATCTAAAAAAAATCCTATATATACATAGGTATTTATCATAGGCTGTAGACTTGCCTGGTTTGGGTAAGTGAGACATCACGGTATTTGAAAATATTTCAGAATATTTGAAAAAAGCATCATCTTTCAAAGGTAGAGGGTGCTCTCAGTGGCATCTGCAATGTTCTAAGAATATTGGAAAATGAGTGGAGGGAGACCTGAAGGAAGAAAGAGGAGAATGATTGCCTTGTCTCTGATGACCAGGGATCCTGGTTTTCCCTGATTTAAAAAATTGCAAATTCTCTGATAAAGCCCTCATAATCTGTGATTAAAATGAAAGGGCCCTCATAGCCCTCCCCACAGCCTCCTGGCCCTGCTGGTGCTTCTCACTCCCCCCCACAGCTCCCCAGTCCTGCTAGCATCCCTCACCCCCAACACACAGCCCTCTGCCCCTCACCCCCCAGCCCTCTCAGAGGGGAACCCCAGCTGCCAGGACTATGGGGCCAGGGACCTAGGTCTGCAGCCTGCTACCTCCAGCAGGAGGTGGTGGCGGCTGCACAGAGCAGAGCCCGGTGCCCTGCCCTGCTGCCTGCCTGCTGCAGTCTTGGTTGTGGGGAGGGGTGGGCAGTTACCTGCCACTGCACGCACTTCCAGGGGAGCAGAGGGGACCCATGCCTCCCAGATCAGTGCACAGGGTGGGAGTGGTCTGCGCGCTGCAGACTACCTAAAGCATCCCCTGAGCGTGTTGCAGGAGTGAGGGGCATAACCCTGCACCGTGGTCCTGCTGCTGCTGTGCACACAGGGGACGCCTCTCTAGGGCAGCATGGAGCTTGCAGTGGCAAGGAGATCCCCACATAGCCCTGCTGTTCCCTGCAGCATTGGGTTGCAACCGCTGAGCTGCAGAGGCCCCAGGGGAGGGCAGCAGGGTGGGGAAGCCATGCCCCCACCCATTGGATGAGCTGCCCACAGACATGTTCCCCTTCATGCTGGCGCCCTGTGGCCATGCAGCCCCGAGCCCCAAACTCTACGCACTGCCCAGACCTGCCCAACTCCCTCCCTCTCTCCCTATGGGGGCCTCAATCCCCCTTCCCCCCAACTTACTGGTCACGTGCATATGCGTGCACATGGCACCCCCTGCCTGACTGCCCTCCTCCCACTCCTCCCAGCTCCTTTCAGGCTGGAATTCGGCCAGCCGGCAGTCAGCTTTTTGCAAAACTGCAAAATCCGCAGGTTTCTCCCCTAAAATGAGCAATCCACATATTCCTCCGGTAAAGTGTAAAATCTGGGATTTTCTCCATTTTCTTGTGGGAAACGGAAAACCCGGGTCCCTGCTGATATAGTTTTATGGAGATGTTGCAGTCCTTTCACTGAACAGTGAATCTTTTATAGGGCAGCAGTAAAACATGTGCACAGAAAAAGAGGAGATGGATGACAGACAAGAATTTGGGAAGGAGAAAAGGGCCAATGCCTAGTCATGTTGTTTTGAGTTAGTTTGGCTAGTCCAGTCAATGTGTATGTGCAATTATTGTGTTAATTTGTAGTATGTACAACTGATGGGAAGATTTAATTATGTGTATCAGTAATTTTTAAAAGATGTAGAATCACAACATCAGAAGCATTTAAATGCTGTCATTGAGATTTTTTTAGGTTAGTAAAGCAATGAAAGCAGTTTTCAGTAGTCATTATTGGTATGCCAGGAAATTAAGGTTGAAATTAGACTAGAAGTGTTGACTAGAATTAGACCAGAAGTACTGTTAGTATGGCTAAATGAGAAATCGATCTGGCTGTGAAGCAGATAGGGATAGCAACTTTTTGTCACTGCAGGATTGCAATATGAATTGGTTGTATTGCTGTAGAAACATGCCAGAGCTATTCTGACTTATGCAGGAAAGACCAAATTCTGCCACTTATACTCATTGTGAAATAACTTCTTCAGTGAGTAATCCTATTAATTGTAGTAGGCTTCCTTGAAAGGAAAGGTATTGATCAAATGGATAGGTGTGTCACCATTTCCTTATTTGAGTAAAACTTAATATGCTAGTTGTGAATGTAATATATTTTTTGTATATAATACTTATGAAATGTTAGGATTTAGTAATAACTGAAGCACTGACATTTTAATTTCTATTTATTTTCATGGGTATTTCCAAAGGGATATGTCACTGGAGGGGGGAGGTGGGGGGGTGGGGAGGGGGTTGTGAAAATCTCCAAGACAAGTTTCTTCAATAGTCTACAGCAGTTCTCTATGCAGATTACTGTCTGATATGTTAAAACATACTTGATACATCATTTTCTTTATCTCTGCTTTTTGACAAATTGAATTAAAACCATGATATTTCAAACACACTTTATTAACCTGAATTACAGCTAACATCTTGCACTGTAAAGGGGGAAGGAGGGGGGGAGAAAATGGAAAAATCCACCTTGCTGTTCCTTTTGTTGTGTGTGTGGTCTTTCATGATTGGAATGGTGAACACAGCCCAGTTAGTTTCTTATTTTGCTTTTAGCGCCTCTTATCTCTTCCAGGGTCTTGTAAACTAACTGAATGCTAACATGTCTGAATTTTATACTTTCCTGAAGTTGTTCAGCTCTGTGCGTACGTACGTGTTGTTTCTTTTTAATTGGAACATTGCTTTGATGTTGGAAAGCAGGTTTATTTTACCCCCAACATTTACAGAATGCCTTGGCATCCCATTAACTTGTTGCTTTACCAACATCTCTTTTACAGATTGCTTTCAATCTTTTTGGAAATTTGACAGTATTATTATAAGTACTTTTAAAAAAAATGTTAAAAATGTCAACTTTTTAAGGATATGTTTTTTTTGTGTTCTCTGAGTTTCATTCTGTTAACCAGTGGGAACACTGAATTGTGACAGTTTAGGTTCAGCATAGATTTCTATGCTATGATCTCATGTTAAGTGAACCCCTTGTGCAACTTTATACCTTGAAAATGGATTATAAAGAGGACAGGCTAGATTTTATGGTCATCACTCATACTGTGAAAATCTCTTGCATTCACAGTTACAGTATTAGAGCTTGGTAGACTGTTAGTAATTGTTCAGAACTGGAAAAAAATCATTCTAAATAAAAATAATTTTGCTTGATTTTTCTTAATCTATATTGTTGAAAACATGGGTTAAGTGTTGTCAGTCAACTAGGGAGAATTATGTTTCAAACAACCATACCAGTAAACTACATGTGGTTTAATTTTGGACGTTATCTAATCCAGTATTTATTTAACTGCAGGATGGATGGACACCTTGGCTTGCGTCAGCTATGTGAAAGTATTTCAAGCTTTCTTAGGAGCACTTTGAAACCTGACACATTTGATTAGTTAACATTAGATACTATTGATCTCTCTGTTTTCATTTTTGTTTAGATTATGTTACAAAACAGTCTCTTTTCCCTATCCTGCATTGTAGAAACGCTTGCAGGTTTAAGAATTTTAATGTATCACTTATTTCGGGCAGTATTGTTTTACTTTCTCACTATCTGCCCATTGTTCATCTAATTTTTACTTAAATCTGATGATTAATAGCTAATTCCAAATTAATTTGAAAGAGTAAATTATCTAGAACTTTCAGTTATAGATGGGTGGCAGCAAAAATTTGTGGGGAGAACTGATAATCTCTAGAAATTATTTTATATGTAGATTATATACAAAAGGATTTTTGTCTCTTCATTATGGATAGGGAAATTGAGTCTTTGCAAATATAACATATTTGCAGGCCAAACTGTAAAACATACAAGCCCACTATAAACTAATACTGCATATTATGTTCTGTAGCTTTAAGATAAGTCCCATTAAGGTTTCCATATAAAAAATAAAATGTTTTAGACTAGATCCAAACTACAGATAAATTCTTGTTGGTGGAGGGGAGGGGATATAAGAAAAAAAAGCTGTAATAAAACAAGCATTTCCTTCTCTTACCTGCCACGACATGAATTAAAACCCTTAGGAGTCTATCCCTAAAGTACACTTGATGAAGTTACTAACACCAGCAAGCGTTGGAAGGAATGCATCTGCCTGTTGTTTTACAGTAGCTTTGTAGTCATGATGGTCCAGGAAATATGCGAGAAATGTGTTGTTGGTAATATCTTTTATTAGACCAGATTTATAGAGGAGAGAGACTTTGGATAAGCGTTGCAGCGCAAATTGCCTTTCTCCCAGGTCTGTGAAAGGCTGTATCTGCTCCTTTCTTAGGCTTGAGGAGTGGGTTTTTGTTCCCCATGACTTGTCTAATACCCTTCCCCCACTACAAATTGTTGTTGGCCTTTAATAGCTGTTTGAGGTATTAAGGAAGGTATTTGTTGTTATAGTGATTATTTATGTATTGAAGTAGACCTTGGGCATGACAGTCAGGACAGGCCCACGATTGTCTATAGGAAGATGTGTTTTCTCTTCCTAACAGTGTACAACCTAAAGCCTTGATTTGCAAAACTCTCTCTTGTTGAGACCCATGGGGCTACTCTTGTGTGTAAATCTATTCATGTATGCAGTCTGTAAATCTAGTTTAGTATGTAAGATAAGGGCCTACCTTAGGTTGTAAGTCATTATAGAGAAGGGTTGAAGGGGATCAAGGTATGATGATATAAAAGGAGTGGTTATGAACAGTTAGAAGTTTGTGCAACTTACTGATTCCCTGGTGTTTTAATTAATATATTGCAAAAAACAGCTATTAGTCATTCTGTGCTTAAAGGTTGGTTTAAATATTGTCCAGTAAGTATCATCTGGAGGAGAAACACATTGAACAATGAGGACAAAACAAAATACAGAATAGTTGCATATTTTATGAGCCCTGTCCATATAGTGCAATAAGACTGGGCCCTTCCTGTGTGAAGAAGAAAAATCCTGTGTGGTTAGAC